TTTCTGATAAAGATATCTTTTATTACAGTTAATTACGTATTTTTTTAGAAAAACATACATTTTTATTAAAAAATGGTTATAATTTGGTCTTTTTGGTTATTCCCGAAGTATGTATGTATTATATATATGATATACATATCAGATTAAAGGTCTGTCAATTATCTTTCCAACCATATCCACGTTATTGAAAATTCCACTTTAACAACTTTTAACACACTTTAACTTGCATCAACAATTTTTTATACCGTCAGAATAAATGGATGAAGGCCGACAACATCCACTTTTTCTTTTTCTAGCTCAACGGGCCCTATTCTTTATATATCCCGTGATTCCAGTTTTTGATAAGTGAAAATATTCCGCCAAAAACAAATTACTACAAAAATTATTTTTCGCAGATAAAAAGGAGGAACTAACCTTTAACGAAGTGTATAGTTACTCCAACATAACTTTGCATAGTCGAAGAGTTTGTCCATATGTCCGATGTGAGGCATACAGATTTCGCCTGACTGAGTTCGTTTTTGACCTTTAATCGGATTGCACTATATTTTGTTTCAATTTTTGACGTCATTGTTTTTTCAGTAGGCACTTTATATAAAGGTTGCAACGTTTTGCAGAACTTTAAAAAACCCCCTTTTTCAGGTGTACAAAGTGGCATGTCGTCCACAACTATCATATACATTAACGCATTTGAAATTTCCTTCCCTTTGGTGCTGTTATCTAATATTACAATAATTACAGAACTTTAATAAATTTCAAAAGTTGAGATGTAAAATTTCTTTAATGCATACACACCAGAAAATGATACTGCTCTTTCAAAGGAATTTCGTATTGGGTAAACAGATTTAGACTTCTTTTGATTCGGCTAAAAAATTGTGTGAACAGAAAAGTAACAATATGTATTACAAATGAAACCCTAGGGAACTCATACCTCATTGTCATCATCGTTGTCCACAAGCTCAATGATGTCAGTTTTCTATAAATAAATGGAACAATTTTCGGTATTGAAATATATAAATTAAATTCCTTTACCTCCATTTTAATTTTGTGTACTTTTTCTACGTGGTTTTTTAACGTGGTTGTGCTGCTGTGGTACTTAAAGCATTTCCCGCACTTTACGCAGATCGCAATTCCTTTTTCTTTTTTATCGTAGTACTGCCACACAATACTTGGGCTCATTGTTAGTAATAATGTATGAAAAATTCAGTAAGCAAACTCAAAGTGTATACGGCGCATAAAATTATCGACTCTGCTGTAAAAAACCAAACTTTTATAACACTAATAGTATACATTTTCACAATATTCTTACCTGTGTAAAATAAACGCAAGCAAATTTGCAGAATTGAAATGGGGCAAGTTAGGGATGCACAAAAACATCCATGCACAAAAACATCGATACATTGGAAACATTGATGTTTGCTATTCGAATCATCGAATAAAACCATTGTATTTTCTCTTCAATATACATCGATATATTTCAATTTGACAGCTGATGCGAATGAATGTTCACCAAATATACATTTTGTATTAAATTATTGTATTGTATTCATTGTATTAATGTCTTTTAGATTATAAATATGATTTTGCAGCTTATAAGAATACCAAGAAACCGATTGACCGATTAGAAGAGTATTGCTGACAATTCAAAGACAATTAATTATCTTTACTTTTACATCATCAATAAATCTATTTCACCTTGAGTTTATACTTAAACATTTATCGAAGTTCCGATTTTCAATTTCCTTGTACATTTTTATTAATTCATTCAATGCATCGAAAATATCGATTTTCATATACGGTGCATGAATTTATATTTATAAATGGGATTTGCAACTATTAAAAAAATAAACATATTTCACTTTGAGTTAATACTTAATAATTTATCTAACAGCCCTATTCCGCCACACTGACAAAACTTTTGGTATTCGCAGCAAAATTCAAAAGCTCGAATCATGCCAATTGTCATTTTTATTGTCATGACCTTTTGGGCAGGTGACAAGGCAAAAACATATGTTTGTGTTGGTTTAAAAAGTGCGACGATTTAATAAATTTGTGAAAAAAATATAAAAATCAACTAATTTCAATGGCAGAACAAATTTTTGTTATTTGCGCAACCGTGCTTGTGGAAGACGAGCAGCTCCGGATGCTCCCTACAAAACTTCACATAAAATTGCAGCTGCTCCTCCGCTCATATTTTGCACGTCTAAAATATTTATAAATGTTATAAATACACGAATTTATCTATTTCACACAAATACTCACTTTTCTGGTGTTTCACCGCTCATATTTTTTGCAAATAATAGCGTTGACCAGCTGTTTCTACAACAATGAACTTTTCACCATGTCATTTTTTGTTAGGAATAGCAACGTGCAACGACAATGACAAAATCACGACAATGAAGGATGATCAATTGTCATTCTATTGCAAAACCGGAATAGGGCTGTAAGTCCGATTGTTCCATTTTCTTGTATGTTTTCAATTTATTCGATGCATCGAAAATATCGATTTTTATATACGATACATCGATGCATTAGAAAAAAGTCGATGTTTTTTTTGACTTGCATTCCTAAGTCAAACGTGGCGCCATCTAGAGTGACGCCAAATTTAGTCAAAAAGTCGCAGAGTTGCTTTTTTGCAAATAAAGACGAAATTCGATTTTTTTCTAGAAAAGTTCGATTTTATCCGAATTTTAGCACCTCAAAGTTCGATTTCAAAAATTCGCCATTTCGGAGCGAAAATTCGATTAAAATTCGAATCTCGAAGCTTCGAATATCGAATTTACCCATCCCTATTACGCAAGCCGTACTGCGATGAACATGATGTCGGTGGGATATAAATAATTTTTTCGCAACTTTTCATACCCTTCCTCCCGTAAACTGTTTTTCCCTTTCTCCAGCCCGCGCTCGCACTTTCGCTACTGCGCGGGCAAAAAAGTGCCCATGTCTGCATATGGTATCACAGCGTTACTATTATTGGCCTATGTGTGAGGAGAATACTGCGCCTTAATGGTTTCAACTTAAATCAAAAATTATAAAATAAATAAAATTGTGGCTTATGCATTGGCCAACGCAAAAGCTCTTATTAGGCGCCGCCAAGAAAGCGGGCATTGGCTAGTATTTCATAAAATTCTTCTTCACGAGTCACCGATAGATAGGGGGTGGAACTTTCCGGCCATCTTAATTCAAATTGGGGGTAGGCTTTAGATTGGTAACCCCGGAGTACAGCATTAAGGAAAATATGGGAGGTGGAGGTGGAGGGGGGTCTAATAGTTCCCTGTATGAACTTCCAAAGCGCGCAACCTTATAGTTTGTGAGGAATTTATTATTAAAGTTTGTAATTTTAACCAACTTGTATGGACACATACACATTAATATTTTTCCGACCTATTTTGGCAGAAGTTTTAGAATCAGGGACAGAAACTAATGTTTACTTTTTAAATTTCAATTAAAAAAACTCTCGATTCCACACACACATTTTACTTACACTGCTGGAACAAAGTATTGGCACAGACAATTTTTCACAATATATGCAAAATTTTCATTCTAATATTTTTCCGCTAATTTCGTATAAAAAATGGTTTATTCTACAAGAAAAAACATAAAAATATAATTCCTAAACTATGTGCAAAACTCGCGAAAATTCAGCAAATTTTCATGAAAATTTTCAACTTTTTAATCGGATTATTATTAAATTTTATATTTTCGCTCAACAGAAATTATTATTCTTTGATTTTAATTTTTTCGATCACAAATAATGAATATTTTATGATTTTTATTTTTTCGCTCAGAGATAATAATTTTTATTGAGACTTATTTTTCCACTTAAAAATACGGATTATTAATGAAACCTTAAAGGCCATACAGACGCAAGCAACTGAAATATTTATTACCTTTTAAAAGGATAATCATTATTCTTAAGTGAGAAAAACTCAATAATAATTATTATCTTTGAGCGAAAGATGAAATATCATAAAATAATCATTTTTTTTATCGAAAAAATAGAAATCAACTAGTAATTATTTTTAATTTTTATTGGTTATCCTCAAAAAGATTTAATCTATGAAAATTACAAAAACATATATTCACAATATATGCAACAATTTTTATTCTAATTCCAATTTTGTATAAAAATATGGTTCATTCAACAACAAAAACATACAAGTATAATTCCTAAACTTTGTGCAAAACTCGCGAAAATTCAGCAAATTTTCATGAAAATTTTCATCTTTTTAATCAGATTTTTTTTGAGTATGCAGATTTTTAGCACAATCAATTATAATATAATCAATATTATAATAAAGTGCAAGTTTTAAGTAGCTAGGAATTACCGTTGATTTTTGGCAGTTTTTTTCACGCTGTCTCTTCCATACAAATTTTTTTTTTCGAAAATCCTTTATATGGAAAAAATGCAAAACACCTTCAACAAAAAAAAAAAATTCTAAAAAATCAACGCGATTTTTGACTAACTTCGTTTTCGCATTTTTTATTACTAGAATTTAATGGGAACTGCATACTCAAAAAAAAAACTGATTAAAAAGCTGAAAATTTTGATGACGTTTACAGGCATTTTTGAAGTTTTCATAAATTGTACATTTTAGAAGCAGCGTTGCCACATTGGTATTAACAGCTTGGAGCTTCTATTGTGTTTAATGGTTCGTAGTCTTTTCATACGATCCTAAATACTTAACTTTTGGAGTTCTAAAATGTGTAATAATTATGATTACCTCAGAAAACCTCAAACTAAAAGGGCATATCAGAGACGTAAAAATTTGCGTAAAATATATTATAGTTAAAGACTTCCACCAAAATATTTCGGAAAAATATTAAGATTTACGTGAGCTGGACCGATTTCAAAATACCTCCAAAAATGAAGTTTTTTATGAATAAACGTAGTTTCTTAAAGGATTTGTTGTAAAATCCCCTCGGACGACGAAACTGTTTAAAAAATCTGCATAAAAATATTTTAAAAATTATCAACGGAATGATAATAATAATATTTTAAAATGACACTCGTTCATACTTTGAATTGAATTATGCAAACAAATAAAACGGGTGAGAAAATTTCTTTGCAATGATGCCCTATAAGTCTAAATCGGCGAACTTTTGACCGAGTTATTTAAGACTTTCTTAAATAAATTTTTGAAAAAAGTTCAAGAAGAAGAAAAGTTTTTATGAAATTTTTTAAGCTTAAACTGTTTTGCCATCTGAGGTGATTTTTTAAAAAAATACGTAAAAAAACCTATTTTTATTCATAAAAAACTCAAGGAGGTATTTTCAAATCGGTCCAGCTCCAGTAAATCTTAATATTTTTTCGAAATGTTTTGGTGCAGGCCTCAAAATATAATAGATTCCAATGGGAAAACACTACCGATTTTTTTTTGTATGGGGAGTGATGCAGTCTAATGTACATATAAATATACTTACATACGATTCAGTTTCTCCAAAACCTCTGAAATTGAGGAAATACATATATTGCTTTGAACAACAAAATGTTACTTCGGGAAGATTTTATTCCTTTACGTTAGAAGTTTCTAACCACTTATTTCTAATAAACGAGAAAATTAAAAAATGTGACTCTGGAATCCCTGCACAAATTTAGAAGATTCCTACAGCTTTCAAATGCGCAATTAATTTTTTATTTTATTAAAATTACAGGTTTTTCGTTTTTTGGTTTGAAGGACAAGTACTTGAAGTGGAGACACAGAATGTTCAAAAGCCATGTGCCTCAGAACAACAAAGCAATTGATTTTTTTTTCTGGTCAGTCTAATATAGGGTGATACAATAAGATCGCAGACTTTCGCAATAGGATCATTGTTTCGCTCGCTGCTTGACGAGTGGCACCGCTGTTTGACAAGTGAAACCACATATTGGCCAAGTCCATGTCGTCTAATTTTCACAAACAATTGCTGTCAAAAATCTGCATCACTCTTATATCACCCTACATATCGAGCCCTAACCGCCAAAATAACGTAAGCGACATTTTTTTCAAAATTTTCTTTTTGATGCAGAAATGTATCTAGATGCTCTAGGAATATTTCTGCATCAAAAAAAAAATTTTCGAAAAAAATGTCGCTTACGTTATTTTGGCGGTTAGGGCTCGATATATGTACATATGTATGCATACCAACATTTAAGTTCTACATGGTTTGTTTTATAAGGTTCAGAACCCAGTCAATCAGAACTTATTTATGAATGAATAGAGCACCTATCCTTATTGAGGATATCTTATCTCCCAAAAAAAAAAATGTAAAAAAGAGTATTATATGGCAGGTTCTTAACTTATTCTATTCAATTTTGAGTAAACCACCCTTTGTTTAGCTCTCATTAAATTGCACGCTGCAGTGATCGGAATAAGTTATGTTTTGTGCGAAGTTTTGAAAACTTCAGAATGCCA